TGCTGTGTCAATAGAGTCTGAAAGGACCTTGACATTCTGCAGAACATCATGCCTGCCCTGTATCAAGGTGGATCTAGCATCTGAAAGTGGCAGGTAGAGAACCAAGATGGTGGCGTAGGCAAACACCTGTGCTCGCTGCCTCCCACAACCACATCAGAATTACTACTGAAATACAGAACCACCATCATTCAGAACCGCCTGAAAGGTGGCTGAATGGAAGTCCTACAACTAGAGAAGTGAAGAAGAAAGCACAGGAGGGGAGGAGGCATGGAACAGGCTGGTCCAACACCCACGTTTGCCATTATTTTAATCGGGAGGGAGATCTTCCCTGTCCCTGTGGAGGCCGCCCGTGAGGATCAAGGGGTCCCAGCCCCACACCAGCCCCCCGGCCCAGGATTCCAGAGTTGGGAAGAGAAGGCCCAAAACTACGGGCTGTAAAAACCAGGAGGGCTGTGGCTGAAAGAGAGGGAGACTGCTGAAGACCCACTTAAAGGGCCAGTCCACAAACTTACTCAGACTCCCAGCACCAGGGAAGCTTTGGGGGACCCAGACACATATGAGGAGGAACTGGATTGTCTGGCATTGGGGCAGCTTTCTCCCAGATGGGTGTTTGCAGGGGTCATTGTTCTCCCATTGCTGGGACCTCCCCTGTCACAGGACTGACTAGCAGGCACCATGTCTGAGTCTCCATCAGCCTGAAGCACACTGCTTGGCCCTGAGGATTCCGAGACCCCACCCCATCCAATTTGCAGTCTCACCCAAGCTGTTTGCGAGGCTTTTCCTGGCTCAGGCTTCAGACTTTGCTAAAATCTCTTAAACAAGCTGCAGCTGGAACAGCGTGCCCCACACCTATCAATAAAAGGCCCAAGTCCCAGCACTAGGCACTAGCACCAGCCTGCCTTGCTTCATAGCTGGGCCTTGCCTGGGCACCTCCAACCCCAATATAAATAGCAAATAGCCATCTGAAGATCCCTCTGTAACTCCTGCTAGGTGGCCCCAGGCAGTGGCTGACTTTGCACTTCCCTGGAGGCCCAAGAACCAGTACACCTGGTGGACAGCTTCAGATCATACCAGATTACAACTCTACACACCCACAAGCAACACACTCACGGGGCAGACTCAGTGAGCTAAGCCCCACTGAAGCAAGTCTTGCTCCATAGGAGTGTCTTCTGCACAGCAGCTCTCCCATTGTAGACACAGCTGGCGTTTCGGAACAAGAGGAGATTGTAAATGAAGCCATAATTTGCGTTAATACACTTCTTTTGGGGGAAAGAATGTATACCTTAAATTTAAATTTATTTAGAAATTATAAAAATGTCCCCACCAAGTTGACCGTGAAAAAGTTTAAAAGCAGCAACAAAGACCTTGGTTAATTACCACCAGTCTGACGCAATTTATAAAATTGAGCACAATTTGGATGTGTGTCTTATGCCTCTGTAGACACGGGGCCCTTTCTTTAGGTCCCGTTCTTTAGGGTCTGGTAGTATCATTACTGGGACACTCTCCAAAGCCTTCTTCCTTTGGACCCGATGCAGAATGATGCGATAGACCCCGGTGATGGCGCTGCGGGCATCTCGCCCTTGGTTGTTCCGAATATGCTCTTCTGTGATACCCAAATGTTCTAAGGTGCTTTTGACCTCATTTTCTTCCTCTTTGAGGGTGCTGGTTTCTGACAAATGTCTGGGGTCAAGCTGGAAAGGTTCCAGAGGGGTGGGGTATGGCACCCCTTGCATCCACTCATGGTTCATGATGGAGTCAATCCCGTACCGCTCAGAGGGTATGGGCTGGAGGACTCCCCGGATGAGGCGGAGGCAGGGCTCCGACATGTGGGGAGGCACGTTGTACGTGCCCTCGAGGATGCTTTTCTTCAGCTTGGCCACGGTCTCTGCCCGAAATGGCATGGTGCCAGTCACCATGAAGTAGAGAAGCACCCCCAAGGCCCAGATGTCCACATACACGCCCACGTAGTGCTCGTCTCGGAAGAGTTCGGGCGCAGCGTAGGGAGGGGACCCACAGAACGTGTTCAGCATCTCCCCTTTTCTACTCACTGTGCTGAACCCGAAATCGCCCACCTTCACGCAGGTGTTGCTGGTGTAGAACACGTTTTCTGCTTTCAGGTCTCTGTGGATAATTTGGTTTTCGTGCTGTGGGAGGAGACAGAGGGGAAAACGGTCATTTCCAGAGTGAAATGCCAGCAGGAAACATGCATCAGCGGCTCTGACACAGTGAGATGGCGTAATACTGGAAATTCAGCGGAGATTAACCACGTCAGCAAACCTGGAGAGCTGCCCTGCCGTGACCTTTAGCCAAACAACACCCACAGGCCCCCCAGGGATGAAAGGCTTCATTTTCCTGTGGGGTGAGGTTGGAGTCTGTCCCCCATGTGTGAACTCGGGAATCAGAGCAGAAATAAGACCCAGGTCCTGCTGAGCTACTATTCCAGAACGTAATGAGACAATAGTCCTTTGTTTTGAGGTCATAGGTGGGTTTTTCTGGCTGAGCAATCTCTTGACTCGGGGCAACCCCAAGGAGGCCTGGAGCCCTCCCAGCTTTCCCACCACACTCCGCTAGGCGGCTCCTCCATCGCACAGAAGTCAGGAGAAGGGAGGAGGTGCCAGCAGCAGGAGCGTGTGGGTTGAGCCCAGGCCCTACCCCCACCCTGGCGTTCTGAATCCGGACAACCTTCACCTGCTCAGTCCCAACGACTCCTGGGATGTGCTTTACTATCGCTCTTGCCGACGGGCCTCCTGGGGTAAGCATCCAGGCTTTGGAGCCTGACAGCTTGGCTGTAGGTTCAACGGTACCAGCTGTCAGTTCGCTACCTTGTAAAATGGGATAGGGATGGGCACCTCATGGGGCGTTGGGAGAACTGTCAATCCACTGCGTCTGTCCCACTCGGCAGGGTGCTGGCGCAGAGTAAATACCCTCCATGGAATTTGGAACCCTGTCTGCGATTCATCCTCAGGAGACCAGGGCGCCGGGAGGAACATCAGGGCTCCGAGCTCCGGAGGACTCAGTCTGCACCCTTTACTCCTGGGTCTTCCGGTCTCTTCTCCACGGAGGACGTGGGAGACTCCTTTCCCAACGGCTCTGTTGTGTGATGTGTCTGGCTTGTTCCTTGGCCCGGGAAGGTGCACCACAGCACAGGCCACTTAATGACGGGCTAAAGCGCCCGCGACCAGGCTCTTCTCCCAGCTCACTCCTTCCTCCCCCGTTCCTCCTGCCTGCTCTCTTGGGTCCCCCAGGTCACTAGTTCCCTGCTGATCATTTGGCCAGGAGGTCACTGACCCCACAACAGCCAGGCAAAGGAGTGACCTAGAAACAGCCTCTCAACTAAGACTCCAGACAAGTGTCTCTTGTCTGCCCACTGGACTGAGACCTGGGTAAAGCGGGCAGCCGAACATCTGCGCTGATATTTATAAAAGTGGTGGTCGGGTCTGCAGTCAGTTCCTCCTGCGCCCAGCAATTCAGCCAGCGCTACAAAGGGCAGCTCTTCAAAGATCTAGGCATAGCTCAGGAGTTGAGTGTTGATCTACTAGTACAGCGGTTCTCAACCTGTGGGTCGCGACCCCTTTGGGGATCGAACGACCCTTTCACAGGGGTCACCTAAGACCATCGGAAAACACATATTGAATATATAATTACTTATTGTTTTTGTGATTAATCACTATGCTTTAATTATGTTCAATTTGTAACAATGAAAATACATCCTGCATATCAGATATTTACATTACAATTCATAACAGTAGCAAAATTACAGTTATGAAGTAGCAATGAAAATAATTTTATGGTTGTGGGTCACCACAACATGAGGAACTGTATTAAAGGGTCGCGGCATTAGGAAGGTTGAGAACCACTGCACTAGTATGAACCAGGGGGCACATCCCCAGGTTTGGGGCCTGATCCCCAGTAGGGGGCGTGCAAGAGGCAGCCAGTCAATGATTCTCTCTCATTGGTGATGTTTTTGTCTCCCTTCCTCTCTGAAATCAATAAAAATATATATTTTTTAAAATAAAAAGATCTAGGGAATGTGCTTTAGGAGTCCAGCTTTAGCTACAAAAAGAATCAGGGACTAAAATAGGACACCAAAGTCTGAGCAGAGAGGCAACAAGAGGTAGAGGAGTTCAGGGAAGTCGAGAAAGATGGGTGGGAGCTGCTGTGAGATTGAAGGGAGTTTCAGAGAGACAGGCTTGAGCTGGGTCGTGAAGGGTGGATGGGAGTTGGAATGTGAGACGTGTTGATAGAGGAGAAGGCATCCTCAGCACAGAGTTAGCAAGGCAAGGCCAAGAAAGAGCGAAGAGCTCTGGCTCGAGGAAGATGGGGTGGAGAGAGAGGTGTGACCAGAGTGGGTGAGTGTCATCGAGCTGCTCAGAGTGGCTCTGGCTAACTTCCAGAAGCCAGGAGGCTGCGCTGTCACTGGAGATGCCTGGTTGATGCTTCAGAGGCGAGGAGAATGAGCACAGCCAGGCTTCTGACCAGCAGAGGAGGTGCTCCTGTCTGCCCTGTGAGACTGACCGCCTCGGGGCTGCTGCATGACGGCAAACGGAAGCCCCACGGAGGCTCCCTCTGTGGGTAGAACGAGAGCAGACTCTCCTCGCCCACTCACCATGTGCTTCACAGCAGACACAATCTGGGAGAAGATGAACTTGCTTTCTGGTTCCGAGAGCTTCCCTTCGGTGCTAATTTTCCCGAAGAGCTCCCCGCCCCCCGCGTACTCCATCACCAAGTGGAGCTTGGACAGGGTCTCCACGACTTCGTAAAGGCGGATGATGTTGGGGTGGTGCAGTTTCTCCATGCTGGAGATTTCACGGGAGAGCAGCCGCTGGGTTTTCTGGTCTAACTTGGTCTTGTCCAGGATTTTAATGGCCACCTTTTCTGGAAAAAAAGAAAAGAATGTGCCAGTGTTCACAGGCTCATAGAAATTTAGAACTGGCTCGGCTGTGGCGGCTCAGTGGTTGAGCGTCAACCTATGAACCAGGAGGTCATGGTTCGGTTCCTGCCTGGAGGCGTTGTGGGCTTGATCCCGGATCGTGCAGGAGGCAGCCAATGAATGGTTATCTCTCGTCATTGATGTTTCTATCTCTCTCTCCCTCTCTCTTCCTCTCTGAAATCAATAAAGATATATTTAAAAAAAAAAATTTAGAACCCAGAGGGACCTAGATCAGCCCCTTTATTTTATGAGACAGAGGTTAAATGGCTGTCCCCAAGCTCACAGAGCTCATCCCTGATCTTCCCTGCACAGGGCCTGATGCCAACTCCTGCCTCCCAAGGAGGTTGTAGTTGATGATCTTTACCCAGTTTTCTGGATGACATTAAAGGTCCTTTGCTTCGTCAAAAAAGCCCCTCTTGATCAGACCCACTCACCTCCTCAACCTCACCATCCATCACCCCTGTCCACCATCCTCACCTCCTTTTCACCATCCTCACCTCCTTTTCACCATCCTCACCTCCTTTTCGCCATCCATCACCCCTGTCCACCATCCTCCCTTCCTGTCCACCATCCTCACCTCCTTTTCGCCATCCATCACCCCTGTCCACCATCCTCACCTCCTATCCATCAGCCTCACCTCCCATCCACAACTTGACTCCAACTGTTACAGAACCTTTTGTTGTTCCTTGAAAAGGGATGAAACTCGTATGCCTGGAAGCTTTCCTCTGCCTGGCTCATTTATCTGGTCCATGACCCCCTTCCTGTCCACGCAGTTTACTCCTGACGGTCTCTCAAGGCCAGCCTGCAAACCACCCTCCACCAGGAGGCCTTCCATGACTCCCATTCTATGAAGATCTCTGTGTCCCAATTCTGTGTTTCTCTGCACTGTAATCTCAGCGCGCTGACCTGTAAATGTTGACTTCTGGTTGGTCTCCTTCTCCTCCTGCCCCGTCTGTGTGTGGGCTGTGTTCTATCTGGCTTTGTCAGTGCCTGGACACACCAGTACTTAGTGTGTGGGGGAGGATTAATTGGTACAATGGTTCTAAACTATTACCCCAATTCATGGTAGTTTGGTATTAATGTATTGAGAGCATGAAAAATGGTTGTACCCTTTGACCCAGCCATTTCACTTCTCACAATTAATCTTAAGGAAATGATCTGACATCCGAACAAGGGTGCATGTGTGCCTAAGAAGACTTCTTTGATATTGGGAACAGCTTAAGTGTCCAGCAAGAGATGGTTAAACTAGAGTGTGGTTCAGTTGCCTATATCATGGTATACTGTGCAGCTGTCAACATAATGACATGAAAAGATGTGTAATAAGCATGTCTAACGTAACATAGTCAATACTATGAGCAGTGATCTCCTCAACTCCAAACCTGCTCCTCCTACAGCCTTCTCAATTTCAGTATATGGAAATGCTTTTTTTGCCATTGTGCAGACAAGAGCCTTGAGCATTTGACTCTTCTTGTCATGCCATTTTCAGTCTGTCAGCAAATCCTATTATGTCTACCTTCTAAATGGCCCTAACAGGTTTGGCTCAGTGGATAGAGCGCCGGCCTGCGGACTGAAGGGTCCCAGGTTCAATTCTGGTCAAGGGCATGTACCTTGGTTTCGGGCACATCCCCAGTAGGGGGTGTGCAGGAGGCATCTGATCGATGTTTCTCTCTCATCGATATTCCTGGCTCTCTATCCCTCTCCCTTCCTCTCTGTAAAAAAATCAATAAAATATATTTTAAAAAAAAATAAAATAAATAGAGCCAGCACCCAGCCACTCCTCGGCATCGCAGGGTACCGTCCTGGTCCAAGGCACCATTCTCTCTTGCCTGGATTATTGCAGTAGGCTCCTAACTGATCTCTCCTTTTCTGCCTTTGACCCCTTGCAATCTATTTTCAACAGAGAGCCAGGGTGATCCTCTTAAAGCAGAGGTTCTCAACCTGTGGGTCGCGACCCCTTTGGCGGTCGAACGACCCTTTCACAGGAGTCACCTAAGACCATCCTGCATATCAGATATTTACGTTGCGATTAATAACAGTAGCAACATTACAGTTATGAAGTAGCAACAAAAATAATTTTATGGTTGGGTCACAACATGAGGAACTGTATTTAAAGGGCCAGAAGGTTGAGAACCACTGTTTTAAAGCAAAAGGCAGATCATCTCTTGTCTCTGCTCCTGCCAAGGCTCTGGTTGCACTCATAGGAAAAGCCAAAGTCCTTACGAGGACATATTGGCCCCACACGATCTGGTCCCTGCCATTCTCTATTCTCATCCCCCTTGGCTGTTTCTAGAGTACAACAGTCACACTCCTGCCCTGGCGCTTTGATACTTGCTATTCTCTCTGCCTGACCACTTTCCCTCATAAGCATCCATGACCAGATCCCTTATTTTTTCTTTCCATTCAATGATCACCTCCCTCAGTAAGGCTGTCCCTAGCCAACTTACCTCTAAAGCTGCAGCCCTCGGTGCTCCTTCTTATCACTACATAACACAATGATATTTGACTGACTGGCTTCTGTCTGTCTCTCCCCACTAGACCATAAGCTCCATACATCAGAGATTATTGTCTATTTTATCCATTTTGGTATCCCCAGTCCCTAGAAGAGGGCCTGTTACCCAATAGATGCTCCACATATATTTGTTGAATGAATGATCTCATGCAGTCCTCACACGAACACAGGGAAAGTATTAGCCTAACAGTATACACACAATTTTGGGTCTTGCTTTTTCATTTATTGTTGGTCCAATGCATCTTCCGCGTTGCCACTCACTTTTTTTTTTGCCACTCACTCTTCATTGTCATGATTGTTAATGGCTCCGTAACTTCACATCCAATGTGTATGTTTTAGTTTACTTGACTATTCCTAATGTTCTTGGATTATATAAATGATTCCCAGTCCTTTGCACTATAAATAACGCCACAATGAACATTTTTTTGGGTTATTGTATTTCAAATGTTGGGCTTATTTTTAGGATGGATTCACAAGTCACTTACTATTTTTAAAATAAGAACACATGATTTTTAATTGCTGGGTTTTTTCTTAATGTTTTCAAGAGGAGGGATCACTTTTTAAAAAATCAGTGGGTCTTCTGTATTAAGGTTTAGTAGAGACTGAGTTAGTTCCCTGTTGGGTCCTCCTAGGAGATTACAGTGTAGAGAACCTCCCAGAGAGTACTGTCCTGCATTGCTCCCTCTAATATCTCTTCCCCACCAATACTACATTTTCATGAGAAGTTAGTATGCCAACAATTCAGCAAACATTTGTTGAATGCTTATCCTATATAATAAAAGGCTAATATGCAAATAGACTGAATGGTGGAATGACCAGTTGCTATGATGTGCACTGACTACCAAGGGGCAGATGCTCAATGCAGGAGCTGCCGCCTGGTGGTCAGTGCACTCCCACAGGGGGAGTGCCATTCAGCCAGGAGCAGGGCTCATGGCTAGCGAGCGCAGCAGTGGTAGAGGGAGCCTCTCATGCCTCCATGGCAGTGCTTAGGCCTGTGGGGAGCAGGCCTAAGCCATCAGTTGGACATCCCTTGAGGGCTCCCAGACTGCAAGAGGGTGCAGGCAGGGCTGAGAGACACTCCCCACACACACATACTGAGTGCACGAATTTCATGCACTGGGCCTCTAGTTATTTATAATGCATGTGGGGGAACTCCAAGGATCAATATGATACAAGATCTGGCACCAAGGAGCTTGTGACTAGGACACCCAAGACTTTTAGCATACCATGGATTTGTTAAGCTCCAAATCTTGATTTTTCATCCGGACGTTCCCTTGCACTCCAAGATGGCTCCTGGACTGTTTACTTCATGAATTCCACATGCCTCCAAATCTTTACTGTCAAACCCATTTGTTCTCCTGTGTTCGCTATTGACTGCTAACTATCAAAGCCAGGGACCTGGGAGTCCTCCCCAATTCTCCTGCCCCTTGTCTCCCCCATCCTCCCCCCTCCAGTCAACAACAAGGTTCTCCAATATTCTAAAACTTTTCTCAAATGCATCCCCTTTGCTCCGACCTCATTGCCACTTCCTGAGTTGGGATGGACATCATCATTCATCTGGATCATTGGAGTAATATTTTATTCTGACTTCCCCGAGTCTTGTCACACCCCAACTTCAAGTTCACCTTCCTCACTGAAATCAAATTATATTCATCCCTTGTATCAACTGCTTGCTTTAAGCTCTTCAATGGCTCCCCGATACCAAAATGGCAAAATCCAGATACGCACGAAGGCTCTCCATGATCTAGCCCGGCCTGCATCGTCCACCGCATCGCCCACACTGTTCGTGCATCGCAGGCTCCAGCCTCACCGAGCTGCTTTCAAACCTACAAATACTCGCCAGGCCGGCTCACACCTCCATGAGCTTGTCATCCTCTCTCTGCCTGGAATCCCCCTATCCCTGTGACTTGGATAATTTCTCCTCAAACCTCAAGACCCAATCCCAGTCTTTCCTGGTCAACTGACCCTTTCCTGACACCCTCGGAGACAGCTGAGCACACCCTTTGTACCTTACCGGGTGACATCACTTACTGATTGTTTCCTGTCTGTCTCCATTACATAGTGTGGGTCTCTCTCAGGCTAGAATGTGCCTCATTCATCTCTGTTAAAGGCCCAGAGCGAAGTGTGGTTACGGGAGAGTTTATTATATTTTTGAAAAGAGGAATAAGTGAACTGATAAATAAATAAATTGAGAGAGGAGAAGAAAGCGTTCAGGAAACTTGAGACTAGAGAAGCGAGAGGAAGACCAGGGGAGAAGAGGTCAGGAAGGGCACACAGAGAAAGGGACAGACACCACTGCCTCTTTCCC